TCAGTAGGGTGTGTATGCGTGTGTAATTTGATGGCCTACCAATCCGTAGAAGATAAAATAAAATTACATAATGTCTAGAGCTAGACCTGGTACGCATACTTGGTCCTCACAGCTGTACACTGGACAAGGTGCGATCCCCTGCACCAGCCCTACCCCTGGTAATACATACACGTGCGTGCCCGAAAGCGGGTCAGTAAATTTCAACTGTCGGACATGTTTAACATACTTCACAATGACATTTACATTGATCATATAATTTAATACATATTTGAATTAATTATTTAAATTTACGATATGCAGATAACCAGGATTACTTTCGTGTAAAAAGTTAATTTTGATGTAAAAATCATCCCCCTTCCCCCTTTTATTTACTTGGACACTATTAATGTGTCTTACACAAAACTCAGCACAGTCACAACTTTGGATGGGGGGTTATTTTCCCAATATCAGTAGATATAAGCTAAGTTGATTTAGAAAATATTGTTTTCATGTATGAAAATTCAACCAAAACAGTGCCAAAAAAAAACTACCAAGCTTATTAATGCAAAATTCTATTAGGACTATTTATATCGCGTAAACAAAAATTTACTGAAAAAGAAATTCATAAACACCACAAACAATATCGGAACAACATTTTAGGTACATTTTGCATTGGTAAGTAATTTTTTGGTCCTTGTTAGATCTAGTACATTTATACACAGAGTACATGTAGCTGCACGGACTAATCGTGGTCTCCTTAGTAACTGGTGGATTCTTGTGTATCGAGCGCGTTCAAGCGGAGAGGGATTTCCTGTCTAACATTGACACTGTACTGGGTATAATTTCACACCTTTGTGAAAGACAAAGGATTTGGATTTTCGCAACATTTTGACAGTTTTAAAATATAAAATCATATACTGGGTGGATTATAACCCCCCCCCCCCCCCCGGGTCCCCCTTCTGCCGTCTGCATGAACTTCATATTTTTTTTTTTAAACATAAGGTTGTATGTTTCAATAGCATTAATTTTACATTTGGATTCACAAAAAAAAAAGAGTGATCTTAATAAATTTAAATGACTTTCCCTGTATATGCATGGTCTTCTACAAATACAAAAAAAAAAACAAAAAACTGGAATGTTAACACCGAGGGCTGTCCTATATGCAGATATGTACTGTGTACATGTTCCTCCAAAATTACGACAAGCTAATGTATTTCATTGCGTAGTTAATCCCATACGTTGATAGGGGTGGCTATAGAGATGTACATGTAAATGGTAGAAATAATATTAATTCTTTTACATATACATGTATAACAAATGGACGATATATCAATTTATTATACACAACGGTATGCACAACAAAGCACCCCGTTTCATCTGTTTAATATTATTATGCGGAAAGAAAATTTTAAGCTTTCTCTTATTTTATTTGCACATTGATAGTTAATAAACTAAGTAACACTCTAAACTGCATACAAATATTTCTACTACTCAGTGTTTTCAGTTAACACGCTTTTCTCATGAACATTGTTCGTACTTACAAGAAGTTACCTTAATGTATGCTCTCAAGCGGAAATGCGTTGCCGATTAAAATGAATTTTGCCGATTTAAAAAAACAAATAATAATACGAGAGAGATAGAGAGAGAGAGAGAGAGAGATTTACTGCACATTGCCTATAAACATGTTTCAGAATATCTAGCTCTTCCATCCATCGAATATTTATCGAAACATGAATGCGTTTCATTGTAAAAGTGATACACGGTATATAGTCATTAATTTAGAGAAATAAAGTTTACGCTTATGCTGAGGATATAATTTATTTTTTAAAAACATGTTTTAAAAACTTACATTTATCAAACATCAGAATAACTTGAAAAACAATCACGCTATTTGATTTTTTTTTTTTTTTTTGTTTTATTATTATTATTTTTTTTTTTTGTTAAATTCTTCGGGTAGTGGTAACATTGTATAATATTTTTAATAGCCCGATTTTTTTTTTTTACTCAAAACCTGCAATTTTACAGACCGAACAATATGATATTATACGGCCGTACAGGTAAAATAAATCCGATAAGCCAGTCAACGGTAAGTCACACCGCCGCGGTCTATACCTGGCTACAGGTAGGACCGCGATGAAATAACCGCGGGGGTGTATCGCGGAAAGGATCAAAACACCGCGGGGGGAGCGCGGTTTAATGCCTAATCCGCGTTGACCGTATTGTAGTCTTGTTGTATTCGTGTTTATTTTGTAATTATTTTACCGTATCTAAGATTGTTTGTATTACAGTAATCGGTCCCAAAATGTGATTCATGTCATTCGACGCACCCTCTCAGTAGAAATTCATCCGCAACAACCATAACGTTTTTCTTGCGTAAAAATTAAACATAATATCGTTGTTTTGCAGTAGTATTAATTGAAGATACAATTGATTTAATTTTATATTCAAGCTATTATTCATTGTGAACGTTTTAAAAGAAATTGGTTTACAGCTGTTGCTATTTTCTATTGCGGATGCATCCACTGACACGTGCGGTCGCGTAAACCTGACTGATCGCTAGATGACGATCGGGCAAGCCCGACGCCATAAAAATGAATTATCAAAGTTTGTCTCTAATTCTTTTTTAAACTGGAAGGTTTATTACAATAAGAACTTAATATAAATTGCTGAAAAAGCGCTATATTATTATTTATGAGATTCATTTCCTGAAGGATTGAAATGATCGTTTTCAAGTACATGTATACACCGTATTTAATTGAATGGGGAAAAAAATCAGAAGTTTCAAATTGACATAATTCTCATAATTTTCTGCCGCAACTGTCCAAATATTTTTCAAACGAAACGTTCAATAACATTCATAGAGGTGTCCTTTAGATGTTTTTTTTTCATTCATAATTATCAATAAGATGAGACTTTTCATAATTAATAAAACATCTATTTTGAATGTTTATAAAGAATAGTTGCTGTAATGAATTGAAAAGATTTATATATTTTGGAAAAAAATGGAATATTCGTTGTAGGCATTTGAATTTTTTTTTCTCCATATGTTTTTTTTAAATTCTTCTCACTTCGAGTTGGGAAATGATGAAATAATGAGTGAATTTTAATACGTCATTTTGAACCTTTTCGGCTCCCCATTTTAATCGTTACATCACAATACATCGCTAAATATTTACGTTTCCTATGTCTTTGTCCTAGATAAAATTACAAATGGTAAATGTATTTTATTTCTCCATCAATCGATAGGCGCGGTTAAAAAAAATCACGTGCGGGACGGGACGTGTCAAAGCGATAGAGACAGAAGCAGGGCTTGTAGCAAGTGGATAAGCGTCCAATCAAGAGAATGTAAATATAAGGAATAACTGTCAGATTTTTCGATTTCATGAAGATGATCAATCGATTCGCTGGCGTGATAATTTTATGTATAAACGCCCTCGGCGTTTATGCAAATTATCACGCGAGCCAATCGATTGATCACATCATGAAATCAAAAATAAGACAGTTATTTCTTAAATTCATCTATGATTATTGTGCAAGCATATGCTTTTGATATTTATGACTTGGACTTTTTTCATACATATTTCTATAATTACAGACAATGCCATTGAAAAGAACATTAATTAATTAAATTCCGGAAATTTGAATGGGACCACTATCGAATTTAAGTACCCGCAAATACTAGTAGGCGGAGACATTCAAATCGCATTGATGTGGAATGTAAACAATAGCACATATGATATTTTCGCAATCATATACTGCACTACGAATTTAAATGGTGAAGATTGTGTAGTTTCATGGTGCACAAATAATAGATTCTAGTGTTTAGGGATGGGGTAGATGTATCGCCCTGCAGACCATAATACAGAGGCGACAAGAGCCTATATTTACTAATCTCACTACCAATACTAGAATTCTTTCAAAACACTCCTAACGTAAAATACACAGTAAAATAAGAGATATATAATCTTCGAACCTTATTAAAAATTGTGCAAAGTTGGAAGTACGATAGATACTGTTCGAATAGAAACATCAAATGACAAACACAATGAAATGTTCAATGAAAGCCTTGGTGTATCGAACCGCGGAATGTCACGTAAGTAAAGTGATTATAATATGACACTCGGGGACCTGTTAATTTAGTGGCTAACTTGACGGTAATTTGGAGACTTTTTAAAAAAAAATTAGATATGAGCCGCAACTTGGCCAACATTGTCCTTTGGATATGTATAAGTTTAAATTAAAATACAAATTCTGTGCAAATGAGACCAATGGCCAAGTTGCGGCTTGATGTGAACAATGTCGTGTATGTACTTTCATGTAATATAATATACCAAAACCTGCTCTTAAGACATTGTTTAATACCTATAAAACATAAATTTAATGAAATTCGGGATTTTATTTTGGGCATAACACCGGTCCCCAACTCTCATAGCTTAAGTGCACTCATCCTTTCTATAAAGCTATTTCACCAAATCAATATTTTTCATTATTTATCGATAATCTCTTCAAATCTATTACGATTTTCGCAGTGAAATTTTACGACAATCAATTAATCGATACTATGCCGCTATCTTCCAGAAAACTGCTCTTTGGACTTTTAACACGTATTTTATTGTATGCCACTAAATTGTTCCTTTTATATTTTCTACATTTGCATCTTAATTTTACTCCAGTGAAAAATGTTTGGAGTAAATGAATAGAGAGAAGTCACTTTTGTGTACTTTAATGGTAAAAAAAGTAATAAAAGTATGCTCCGATTAAAAAAAATTGAATGATATGCAGTATATACCAGTGTATTTTAAAATTTTCATTCCCAATTTTACTTTGTCACCTGCTCTCCAATATACTATTAAGTAGAACGATGAAATAATACTTAAACAAATATTATATCATTAGCTTTTATTAAATTTCCATCAATATTTTTACCTTTTTAAAGAAACACACCGTCCAAAAGAGAATGCCCCCACCCTCCAAAAATCAAATTAGGCAATAAGCTGTAAAAACTAAATAACAACACTTAGTCTAATTGTTCTCTTTTTTATTCTGCAAAACCTTTTTGTACAAAATGTATCACATCACAGAATGTATAACATATTTGAAAATTATGGTCCATGTGGAAAAGATGATAAAGATGATCAAAAATAAATAATGCCCTAAAAAATTCTCATATCGCTGACAGAGTGACAAATTTTCGTTCTTTAGCCTTTTGTCATTTACAAAAGGTTGCACTCATCAAACCTACCAATACCAAACTCTTTAACTATAATGCGACTCTAATTAAATTTACTTCAGATGTGAATACAATTAAAAAACGAGATCAACATGAAATATTTCCTGATGCTCTGCAAAAATGAGTACACCCATTTACAAAGTATTTAGTTTACGTCATTTGGTCGATGCTTGAAAAAAAACATAAAATGCATACAATTTATATCAAAATATTTTCATAACTTCGAAAAAACAACAGCATTGTTGAGTTTTATACCTCTCAAACCCTTTTTTCAACGCAAACATTTTAATACAATTTTCATCTCTCACACAAGTTGAAAAAAAATCCAGTTCTTCATAATCACGTATACATTATGGTGGCAATTAATAGTTTAATTTCAGATGATGCATTCATTAAGCTTAAACGTTATCAATATTAAACTAAAATCACAAAACCGAAAAAAATAAATGATATCTTTACAATGGTAACTCTTTAGACATCAGTGAACCGACAAATATTAAATTCTATGAAAAACAATTGAACACCCTGGGTGTTTCTGCTCAATATGCCTAGGAACTTCGGCAATGCTAAGAGGAATGATTTGCGGGCAGTATGGACACTTATATATTCTACCTTCAATTGGCATGTTTTTATCACTAACCACTGCATTAGGTGAAGCGAACCTTTGCCTTGGTAAATAATGTCTCTGTTGTGGAATCCCCTTGGCAGTTTGCATCTGCTGAGTTAATGCCTGCACTCTAGGACTTGACTGCATTCCTAAAAGCATTCTAGGATTTGGTGCACTACTAGGTCGTACTTGAAATTGGTTATAATTATTCAAATTTGGATCATTTTGAGGAGTGCCTGGTCTGATATTAAATATTTGGAAGGCATCTGGAGAAACATCTTCTGCTTCCAGATTTGGTTTGTGTACCAGCCTTGCAGGAGGTGATGACATTTGGCGGGACAAATCGAGTACACTTCCTGCATTTCCTCGTGAAACAATGGCAACTGAGTATGGTGGTGGTTGAGTAGTTGGTGGTGAAGATAATGTAGGACGAACATTTGGAACCTTCAACACAGGACGACTGACGATAGGTGTGAGTGTGGCATCCCCAGCCGACGGCACTGGAGAGTTCATTCTGCTGGAATTTGGACTGTGTAATCTTTGTAATCTATCTGTCATACCAAAAGATGTGCCTCGAACGGCAGGATCACTTTGTGATGAAAGCACCTCTTGGGGTGAATTGATGGATTTACCAAACTGTGTTTGTTGAAATTTTATTAGAGGAGGGGGTCCTCTCATCAGTGGGGGAGGATCATTTACATTCCCAGCACCTGGCATCAGAGACCCAGGAAAGTCTGCGTCACTTCTTGGAGGAAACGACCTTGTTGCATCCCTATGCATTGGTCTGGACTTACGCAGAGAAGACTTGCTCAGAAACTGCGGTGGTTGTTGAAGTAGAGGAGAAGCCATTGACTGTGGTGCAGGGAATGATGGGCGAACTTGCGAGGCTATTGGAATGACTGGTCTTCCTAATAGATTTTGAGAAATCTGACTTGATAAATTAGCACGTTCCTGGGGTACAGACGTAGACATTCTTGAAACAGTGTGACCTTGTAAAGAAACATTGGTGGCACCTGACTGAGACTTTGTTGAAGGTGTAACCTTTCCTTTTGTCAAACACTGAACCCTTGTGAACAGATTCTCTTCGATTGCCACAGAGAGAGTTACATTTTCAGTACTTTTTCCATGCACATCTCTTATATGTTGAAACACAACCTGTTCATCTTTATGTCTAAAACGTTTGCATTCAGGACAGGCATTAACAAAAAATTCATTATGTTGTTTTTCAAGATGTGAATAAATGAAATCTAAAGATGGCATGTGTCCGTTGCATTTTAAGCACTTATAAATATCTTTTTCCATAACTACTTTATCCGTTGAGGAATGACTGTCTCCTAGCGCAACTTGGATAGTTCGAAGGTGTTGTTTGGCAGCACTAGATAAAGCTACTGGTGGGCTTTTCTGTTGCATATTTTGATGATGAAATTGTTTGATGTGACGGTGTATGTCTGGTTCTGTTGCTCCTTCATATTGTCTGCAATATGGGCACAAAAATAGTTTCTCTATATCTCTATGACTTAGCCGCAGGTGTTCCACCATTGTTGCTAGAACTGGTGCATGCACATTACATTTTTCACACTTGTATGTTGTGCACGTTTTCCCATCATTCTTTTTCTTCGTTGCAGGTGGATATGGTGAAGGAGGTACTTTTCTTTGAGGTACACCTAGATTTGCAGTAGGAACTGCTCTAGGAGGAATGGTGGATGAATACAAATTAGGGTACTGCCTTGGTGAAGTAAGTGCTGACACTATACTGACATTGCTTTGAGAAAGACTCTGATGTTCTTGATTCTGAACCTGTGAATATTGAACATTACCAAAAGGTGACTGAGGTAAAGATGAAGGTGTATCTGACCAATCTATACCAGCCTGATCTCTTAAACTGACTACATCCACGATCTTCAAACCCATATCATTAGATTCTTCTTGGTTGGTGCCATCACTAAAAAGAAAAAAAAATAAACATAATAGAAAATACTTATTTTATTTTTTCACATGAATATCAATATATTTGTACCAATTCTATTTCCTCATCTACCTTTCATAATTATCCAAAGAGTCAAATCGAAGAAAGAAAAAAAGGTGACTTACCGGTACCTCTTTTCTACTGCCTGTACATTTTCAACAGCAGATTCATCTGTGGTGTTTCTATTTCCATATTCTTTTGCAAGAGCTTCAATACCATCCTCCACAGGTTCTGTTTCAGCTACTCTAACTACTGTTCCATCATTTCTCTGAACAGGTGTTCCAAGTTCCTTGTGTGTATCTTCATGCTCCACTGTAGTGCTATCTGCTTCTGCTGAAGTTTTCTCATGCCACCGTTTACTTGATCTTTGGGAGCTTTCTGCACTTGATTTCTCGCGGGGAAACATGTCCGAAAATTTTTCAAATATATTTCCTTTATCATTAGAACTTACGGAATGACTGTGTACAGTCCCCTTTCTAGAATCATAAAAGTCAGGCAGAGATTTGTACATAATAGCTTCATTTGGATGTTCTGTCTTAAAATGATCGGCAATACCATCCTTATTCCCAAAAAATTGTTTATCACATAATGAGCAGGTAAACTGGATATCAGGACGATGATTATCATTGATGTGATCAAGAATATCTTGCTGTAAGGAAGAGGAGTAATCGCAGTAGCTACAACAATAACATCCCTTTCCAGGTCTATTTCCAGGAAGTACAACTTTAATTATTACAGCCTCTGGAGACTGTTCTACTTGTGGAATTATTTGCTGGGGAGGAGTTGATGGTGCTGAAGAAGGAGACTTAAGAACTTTGTAGAATTGTTTCACATCACACTTTTCTGATGGTTGAATTTGTACCTCCTCATTTGGATGTTCTTTTCCGGAATGTGCATATGCCATACTACTGTTCTTGAATATTTTGCTGCATCTCATGCATGTCATTTTAGTGTTCTTTAAATGAACAAAAACATGTGTTTCTACATTTTTGCGATTCGACTGAAAGCCGCATTGATTATATACACACTCACACATATCAGAATCACTTTCATCGCCATGACAGGGATTCTGCTCTTGGGGAGGTGAAGAATCACCTTGTACCATATCCTGACTTAGCAACGTTTGACCCTGCATAAAATTGGATTTGTTTTCAAATAAATTCATTTTCTTTCTAGGACTCATGCTTTTCCTCGCTTTCCTTTTGGCTGGTCTCCCTGGCTTAGGCTTCCTCTTCGGTTCAAGAATCAAGTTTTGTTTAATTTTAAGTCTAAGCGGTGGAACAACAGAATCAGACTGGTTAGCACGTTCATCCTCAGGATATCGAACTATTTCCGCAGTTAGTTTTCTATTAAAGTGATATCCAGTTGCCTGTTTACGAGCTGATGGTCTTCGTTTTTTCCTTGCTTCAGGCTGCATCTCAGAGAGGACAGTTTCTTTCGCTTTATCTACAGTTGCTTCCTCTGTGTTTTCTTCTTCTTTCTGCATTGGTATTTCCTTGTTTTGTTGTTCTTGTTCATTTGTCTCTTGTGTTTTTTCATTTATAAGATCCTCCGAATCCATATCTCCCTTTTCTGTAACATTAAGATACTTCATGAAGTCAATAAGAATAACATTACATGGTTTACACATGTGTTCTAGCATCCTGCTTTTTTCCTGATTGCCTGTTTCCAGAGAGAGAGGTTGTTCCTCTACAGATGTACCAGCAACTTTACCTGGGGATGGAGCTTTTTCAAAAATATCAGAAACATCCTTCTGATTGGCAGTCAAATGCACTTGTTCAAAATTGTTCTCTAATTTCTGTTGTTTTGTTTTCAACCTTCTTTGTTTTTCTTCTCTCTTGAAGGCTTTTTGGGATTGTTCAAGTAAGTATTCTCTCTCCTCTTTACTCTGTCTCATTGCAATTATTTCAAGAGGAGACCGTGAGGCTTTTTGTCTGAGCTGGAACACTCTCTGTGTTGGAGAAATGTTTTTACCACCTTTCTTCTTTGATGAATGATCCCCATGTTCTGGGCTTCCTTCCTCTGTCACCTTCAGGTGGTCATCCTTGAGAGAGGTAAAGTTTCCACTATGATTTAGACTAAGCTCTGAAGAACTAGAGTTTTCGTCTTTGTCAACGTTTATTTCAAGTTTCTCTGTCAGGGGATCAGTTAGAGGAATATTTGTTTTGGCATCATCGGAGACGTCCATTTTTTGTGATTCCGAACAAGAGCTGAAAGGAACATCGTTGTCACTGGTTTCCTTGCATATGTTTCTGAAATAAAGTCCTGGAATTTCAGAATCGCTAAGTATATCATCTGGTTTCTGACCTGAATCCTCAGAAGGAGTTTCAATATTTCTTTCCTCTGACACAACCTGCTCGTCTGAAGTGGAATTTGTCTCCTCAGTTTGATTCGGAATTGATGAATTATCTACGTCTTCTCTTGCGACATTTTGCAAGGTTGTGATACCAGTATCCACAATACCAATATTCGTTATATCGTTGTTTTTATTGTCAACATCCTGATGTCTCTGGGATTTGATTTCACCTTCGTTCTCAGTTTTTTCTTCTGACGCTATGTTTTCTTCAGACAACTCATTATTTTCTGTTGAAAATGTCCTAGACTCTTCAGACTCATCAGTCGGTATTTCTTCTGCAGAATCTTTTCTCTTTTCAGAAAGAGAAGTAACTTCTTTACTTTCTTCTCTGTCGATTTTCTCAACCTCACTAACGGATGTCTTATCAAAGTTTGTAGCTAAAGTCGTCTCATCTTTTAATTCATCAGTACTATCAAGAGCAGCATCTGACTTTTCAACATTTTCATCAATTATTTCATCCGTATCCATATTTTCTTCGCATTTATTATCTTTTGAGGAATCTTCCTCCATATCCGTGCCACCAAAGTACTGATTTTTACTTTCATTATCTTCTGTAACAAACAGAGTTGTTGAAGAATCAGGTGTTATGGTACTTCTGAAGTCAGTGTCTTTCTGATCAATATTATCTGATTTTTCAAAGCAGTCATGTTGCTTCTCGTCTATTTTCCTGCTACCAGAAATGCTGTGATCTTCTAAAGATTGTTTTTCAGTTTCCAATTCATTCTTTGATTCTGAACTATCCAATGTAGATTCATTTGGAAAAAGAGCACCTTTTACATCACTGTATATGTTATTTTCAAAGTCTTTCTCTTTTGTCGTTGAATGGATCTCATTTTCCTTAGCACCAGCAATATCTTCATTTTCTTTTCTATGTTGACTGTTTGGACTAACATCCATGATTATTTCACTTCCAACCTTTTCAGTTCTTATTGTTGAATTTTCATCAATACACTCTCCTTCACATTCCACGGCGTTTAATTTTGGTTCTTGTAAGTCCAGATTTTTCTCAAACATTTCTTTTGAGTTGTGTTCTTCTGATTCAAGATTTTCTTCTTCTGTTTGGAGTGTTGTCCGATTCTGTTCATTCTTACTTTCCTCTCTTTCCTCTTTTTCTGATTCCATGTAAGGAACTACTGTGTCTGTACATAATTGTTCAACTTGTTTGATTAGAATTTCTTTATTTTTCTCTGCCTGCAAATTGACTGTGTCAACATCTTTATTTTCGCCTGCTTTCTCAGCTTCATTAAATAGCTTTTCATCTGTGAAAGCATTAAATGGACTTATCTTGTCTTCTTCATTTGACTGAGCTTGGGAAGAATCTTTATTCACATCACCATTATTAACATGTCCATCTTTTATTTCGTCAGGATGAATTTCCAATTTCTGTATTGTTTCCACTTTGTCATCTTTTCCAATTTCATTTCCTTCTTTTTCATTTGATGATCCGATATCATTACTTTTTTCTTGGGATTTTATCACGTTTGAAGAAACATGTTGGTGTTTTTTACTTTGTCTTTCCTTGTATCCAACTTCTACTTTCTCAGCATAGGTCTCTGTGGATAATTTTGCCTTGCAATGAAGTTCTTCGGCAGTAGTGTCAAAAACTTGTTTCAATGGAGAATTGCCTTTAAGTTTAACACCACCTGGTCCAATGATTTTCAAAGTGCCAAAAGTAAAGACACTTCGACTGCTTGCATACTGTGGAGAGCTCTCTTCCGACGAAATTTCTAGGAGATGAGAGCTATTTTTGTCTGTGTTTTCCAGGTTTTTATGAGGATGTTCCTGCTTTATTTTGGACAATTTCGGAATTTTGTTGTCTTGCAATATCTGTTTTCTATGTGGTTGGGGCATTTTTTCAGATTCCAAATTCTTATTTTGGTATTTCTCCGATAGTTTCTTTGGTGGTCGCCCTCGTCTTCTGACTTTTGGTACCGATTCTTCAGGTTCTGTTGATTTAATTTCAAGGTCTCCTCTGCTGTCATTTGATTCATCGATCGACATCTTTTCCTTTGTTTGTGAAATTAATTTTTCTGATGAAACTTCTTTAGAAGAGTGAATCCTTTGGTTATCCGGCATTCCTCCTGGCTTTGGTAAATTGATTTTCTCATCTTTCTTCTGAGCCTTCTGTCTGTTCTCATCCCTATCTATTGAAGATTCACGACTAACATCATCCAACTCTTCTTTACGAATTTTCCTTTTTAGGGAAACTTCATCAAGTAGTTCAAAATCACTACTCAATGTTCGCTTTCTTTTAATTTTTGAAGCTGCAACAGATGAAAGTGTAACTTTTTTCCTACGAGTCATTAAGCTATCTTGACTACGGAGCAATTTCCTTGGTCCCAGTCGTATCCCCTGATAAGTTTTCCGAATCTTGGTTTTATGTCTTGATGAGGAGCCACTGATATTTGAATCAATACTTTCTATGTCGGAATCAACTCTTGATACTGATTGTTCTCTCGATTCACTCTCTTCCAAACCTTCCTTCCGTATTTCTCTGTTTTCTGTTGTCTCTTTTTTCCGCGGTCGTCCTCGTTTAACAGCAACAACCTTCTCCAAATTTTGCAGTGCTTCAGACTTGTTGCTAGGTTTTCTTTTATTCACTTCTACCTTGTTGGTGGTTAGTTTAAGTTTACTAGCTTTTACTTTTTCTTGGATTATTTTGTGAATACTTTTTGGACGGCCACGCTTTTTAATGGGAGCAGGTTGAGGGAGTATTTTCTCTGGAATGGATTTTTCAGCAGCATTAGCATTTCCAGAAGGTTGCTTTATCGTGACAATACGTTCAGTCGCCCCAGGTGTAGATGATTCCGAGTCCAATCTTCTGATGCTAATTATTAAATTATCAGTTTGTAAAGCATCATCATCATCGTCGTCATTTTTTTCTAATTTGGATTCTGTTTCCGGAACATTCTCAGGCTTTTTCTTTTTTCTACCTGGTTTCTTTTTTACGAACTGATGATTCTCAGAACTCTTTTCATTTATTGAGTTCGTATTTTCCATTTTGAGTGGATGACTTTGAAGACGTTTTAACTTTGTATCTGTCTTGGATTTTGTAATGCGTTTACTAATACCTTGAGCATACTTTACGCCTTTCTTGCTGAATTTCCATTTCACCGGCGCCCCCGACTCATCTTTGCTGATCTTTTCCAGGTAGTTGACAATTTTCCTGTGGCCTACAGACGTCTTTGCTTTGCTTCTGGTTATCAGCTTATCTTGATTATTCGACAACTCCTGAAAACAGGAAAAGAAGTCAAGTATTTTTAAGCCAAGAAATTAGAGTATATCGTGTCACGGGCACTTTCTGTGGTTGACTATTATTTGTTGCGAAATTTTGCAGATGGAACAAATCCACTAAAATTACAATCGCGAAATATTTCTTCAATACTAATTCAGGTACTTTATATACGTTGTAAAAGTGGTGACATTCAACCTGATTCAATGTTAAATGTATCTCTGAACTTCTTACTACGAATGTAAAATTAAAATTATGCTTACGGATGTATAAAATAAGAAGGATCGGAAATTAATTAGAGTGAAGCTTACTATAAATGTATCAGTTTTCATGCCCCTTTAATCAAATTGTGTTTGAAAAATAATTTAAATAACGTAAAGGTGACAGTATTCTGATTGTTTTGTTTACTAAAAGTGTGATATTCGTGTGCCAAAAATAATTTTTGTGGTAAAATACAACTGCAGAAATTGAAAAATTTCCATCACAGAAAATACCCGTCATATGGTAAACAAAAGTGATCCTTTTCAAATCTGTTACGCATGAATAAAAAAAAAATGTTTCAAATACAGTGGCAAATCCATTAAACAAAATCGCATGGACGTTCTATTCTTATTGTCGAATATCCACACGAAAAATTATTTAGGAATTAGTTTACTACGCAATATTACAGGTATATCGATATATTGTGGTATGACCCACAACGATAATATATCGCGATAGGAAAATTGGATACCGGGTTTTCACGATATTTACATAAAATCCCACGTAGAAGAAACTACTGAAGAAAGGTCGTCAGCTTTGAGAGAGAGAGAGAGAGAGAGAAAGAGAGAGAGAGCTTTTACTTCATTTTTGTATTTTTTTACACTCTTCTTACTTTATTATTATTATAATTAACAAGAAGAAAAATGAAGTCATTTTTTTACAGGTATTCATTGTCAATAATAATTGATTTATAATATCTTGCAATATATTGAAGTATTAAAAAACAATATGTTAATGTCATTCCATTCGCAATAATAAATTTACTACAGTTAACTATAGTTTAAATAAATTTTCAGAGTTTTTCAAAAGACTTTCAAAGATCACTCCACGTGTCATAAATGTACTATAATTATTCAATATGCAAACGAAAGTTAAATTTGTCTCTTGTAAGTTATCATGACAGCAGTCAAAATATATCTTTTTATCACGATCAATTTCGTTTTAAAAAAAGAAATGGTATCATCTTATCATCTTATGCTACAATAAATTTGCAAACATCGCATGGAATTGTCTATTATGATAAGGAAGTTTTATTCCATTTGTGTTTTGTTCTCAATTCGTTATCAGCTGATAAAGAATTTTATCCAACTTCCTGATTCTCTAGTTCTTGACAGAAAAGAACTTAAAAGCAATTTCATGTTTTAATTATGAGAGGCTCTTATAAAATAAATTTCCGTTGCCATCTCGCGTTTCCTGTATCTAAAACATTTTTAAATCACTACTATGAAAAGCCTTTCTTGAAAACTATAATTTTAAGGGAAAAAAAAGCAATGTAACTACCGGGAATATGTAAAGTATTCTTACAAGGAAAACCATTTACTATTCCATGAATTTTTACGACAATAAAGCATTTTATTTACATAATTAAGCAATTTTTTATGCGCCCGAATTTATTCGGGGTATATATTGTTTTTGTCCTGTCTGTCTGTTTGTCTGTTTATCTGTTTGTCTGTCTGTTGTCAACTTTAACCTTCGCGATAACTTTTAAACCATGAGAGATAGAGACTTCATATCTGGTATGCATACTCCACTAATTAAGCACTTTCAACTGACACCAAGGTCAATGGCCTTGTGACCTTTACTGTGACCTATATGCTAAAAATAGCTTTTTCGAATTTTTGCCTTAACTTTTGAACCATAGGAGATAGAGACTTTATATTTGGTATGCATACTCCACTAATTAAGTGCTTTCAAATGACACCAAGGACAAAGATCATATGACCTTGACTGTGACATATTTACTAAGAATAGCTTTTTAGAACTTTGTTGCCGCCGGGCGCATAGTGTTTCACAAACACATCTTGTTTCTTCTCTTTTTATACTAGTCTTGTAATGACATTTGTTTTTAAAGTAGGTAGAAGAAAAAGAATTCTGACATATTCATATAGTCAGTAAAGTAATGAATTTCTTATTCAGTAATACTTTTTAGTATACAATATTGATTCACGTATTACTAAAAAGGTATAGAGTTTATCAAATTATGCTTTATGTGCATTATATTCTCTCTCGAGTTAATATCGTATTAGACATAGCATATTTGAAATACATGTAATAAATCTGCCAATTTTCCTTTATCAGTTTCTTTCAGTACAGCTAAATCATATTCTTTAGTGGTGATTTTTCCTTAGTGTAGTGATGTGATGCAATGGTATTAATGAATTAAAATCACAAAAACTATTTACATTATTGTGCAGCATTTGTCAAATAATTATTGTTTCTGTCATTTGAACACAGAAGAAAAAAAATCATTCAAAGAGTTTTAATGGGAACAGAATTGTGTGCACTGTTTAGCTATGGGGTGGAAGGAATATGCAGGCAAGCACTTCTGATACGATCTTGTATGGACTAATTTGTTTAAGTGAGTTCTATAATTCATAGATGGCAGTGTACACTAAAATGATTGAACACTTGAACACTGCAGAACAATATTTAGATCCAAAGATCCTCATTTTTCTATCAATAATGATACATTTACATGCATGAAAGGTTTTCTGCTTCTATTGATATAATAATGTATGTGAAAATTCATAACATTTTAGTTAAACAGTGTGTCTTTACTTTTCTTTGTGGTCATATGACAGAATATGAACAAATGTTATACAAGTACAAAAAGTTTTTATGATTTTAATTGTTTTTTTATAGTACATTATGCATTTCAATCAATACTTTATAGAATAAAATAATTAAATTAAATTCCTTCAATTTTAACAGTAAATGGTCAAGAATTTCTACAGTGCAAACAATTTGAATGTAACTTTTGATAGGAAAATAAATTTTGACTTTACTCTTCACTTGGCTATATTTGTGAAAACTGAATAGTTCCTTTGAGTACACACATACCAGAATGTATGTCACACTGTGGCTTGACTGACTAAACATTAACTGTGGCTTTCATAACTAGTATCCTGCTCACCAGGGGATACTGCCCTGAATGTCAAGAACCTTTGTCTTGTTTTCAAGACAATTCACTGTATCACAAGATTGAAGATTCAGTTTTCAACCAACCATTTGAAAATTAATCAAACTGGGTGAAACAGATATATTCTTCATGTAGTGATTCATGTATTAATACAAAAGTCAAATTTATTTTCATCTGAGGATTAAACAAAACATATTAAGAAGAAAAATGTATTGCTGATACATAAAACAATATTTTGACAGAAGCAAAATAACTGAACTAATTTTTTGGCAAACAGCATAACTTTGTACTTTATTCTTTAGGCAGGGAATGATCAATCCTCCATGGCACCTGATCTCACCTCTGATGTTTTAGAGGTCCATGTCAGCTCAGCTCCAAATTTGTATTGTTTAATGGAATTTTGAGCTTAATACTGTTTGTTATCCCATTATACTTCATATTTTATATAATTTTATTTATTTCATCAAATGGTATATGACAGAAAACATTAAAAATGAACTCAAATATTTTTAAGCACTAATTTAAGAGTCCTTTGAAACAAGTACATGGTATGAGTAATACAACACATATCTGGAATTATATACATCATTTACATATTTTACTTTTGCATAGAACTACAGGACATTAACCTATAAATATATTTGTATATAAGTAGCAACAACAAATTGATTTTACTAAATGCCTCAGACTCCTGTTATAAAGCCTCTAATATTTTACTATTTACAAATGTATGCTATATTGACTCTTCTGGCATTTAGCAGTTTATAGCATGTGTGTTTAGTACACGTACTGATAAATCCAACTTTTTTTATTTAGCAGAATTTATATTTGATAAATACTAAAGCATCTCCCTTTACTTGTTGTTTTAGAAGCTGTACTTAATAACATTCACTTATATGTATTAAAATTGCATAACCTGAAGCATATTCAATAGTCTGTATTTTTTTTCTTTAAATGAACATCTTTTTTCTATATGCAAACAGATATAAATGCTGAATTTAAATATAGATTTTGCTTATAATAACAATAATGATTGTTTTTATATAGCGCTTTTCTAGCATAAATGCTACTCAAAGCGCTTTACAATACATTATTACCCCAGCAGACCTTAACAATCCAGAATCTTTCCCAGTGCAAGCTGCCGTTATCAGCGCTAGAACACTAACATTCTGACAATATCTTTCACTGTCTCTTTATCTTAGGTTAATGATGCCTTTAAGTTTATCTATAGGAACTTGGTTATAATTCTTTTTTTATATTATGTTGAAGATATGATTCAGCTTAATATTAAAATAAAAATCTCTTAACTTTGGTTTACCCTTATTTCAAAAATTTATTTAATTTAGGTTTTAAATGTGTTTTAACTCACTTAGGAGACTTAATTTAATTTAGGTTTTAAGATGGACTTTAAGCTTATTATTAGAGAACTCATTCTAATTTAGGTTGCAAATGTGTTTTAACTTTATATCTAAAAGATTTCAAACTGTGATTTTTCTACACTTTAAACAACCATTTCTCACAATATATTAAAAAATACAAAATTTGGATTTTTGATATCATAGACAACCAATTCTTAAAAAAAAAAAAGGAATCTCGGAAATGTTCCTATAATGCTATTGGTCATCAGCAATATCATTTTGTTAAAAATCTCTTTGATTCTACAGAAAAGTACAGCGACTCTAAAAATGATATTAAAATTAGAGGTACTGTGAGCAATGAGCTCACTAAATGATACCTCCTACCTCCCATCTGAATATATGAATATAGTGGGAGTGTCCATGTTTTGTTGTGGGAAACCCAAAATATGTGTCAGATCAAAAAGTAACATAGGAGGTGCACAATGGCAATATGTAATAAAGATTTTGTGAAAGTTTCATCAAATTTCATTCAGTGGTATGAGAGGAGTTGCTGATATGAGATGGGTACCCCAAAGCATAACAGACAGATGGACGTGCAGACAGACATACCGATTACTATATACCCTCCCGCTTTTCAAGCGGGTAGTATAATAATGCTGGGCTTCCTCAGTGACAACATCTATGTAGTTTTTAGTTTTCAGAGTCTAGAAGATTTCCAATAAATTGTGGAAATTCTGATTACTAATTATGCTCCTTTTAAGCCTTTTTAGCTTGTTTGTTGTTGAATATTCTTTCAAGAATTCTTCACCCAACATTGAGTTCATTGCCACCACTTGCCAGTAGACCCAGAACTTAGGGCCTTTGAACTGTGAATGTGATTTTTGTGTGCAGCCAATCTGTTTTTATATTTGTATGAAGCAGAATTCAGGAACAACTGCAGAAGAAGAAAAGAATTTACTGTGGGTAAAAGTGAGTAGTTTTATTTTGTGATTGATGCATTTCGCGAAATTACACACAAAAAAAAAACCCTTGCGTTTATAAGGAATTAACCGTAATACATGTAATATTTATATCCATTTGTATGTCAACTCTACATACTGTAGATTTCTTATTATACACGAGGAATTAATTTCCGCGTAATTTCGCGAGAAGCATCACTTGCGAAAAAACATTACTCACTTTTATTTTCATTGTGCTGAAATCTATGTAAATTCCGTTGATGAACCGTCCATTCAAAAATTATAATTCTCGCGATTTGACATTAAAGACACAGTTCACGATAAAAAGTGCTCGCAAAAAATAAGGAATCTACAGTATCTTAGTGATCTTGAAATAAAAGACACCAAAGAGTGTTGCCAGATCTATTTCATATTTAGAAGTTTTACTAAACATGCTAAATATAGACAATAAGGGCCAACTCACAACTTATTTATATATAAGGAACCAGATGACATCCAACATTTTGATCAGCTTTCCTTATTTATGTAATGATATTCCAATAATCAACTTCGGTGTTTATGTCTCCAGCCTTTTTTGATACTGTAGATACTAAGTTTTCGTGACACTTTATTTATAAAAGATAGATAGAAGTACATGTATTTACTAATTTTGGCGAGACAGAACTTTCATGTTTACACCTGTACGTAAGAATAATATTTTTGCCAGCACTTTGTCTCAAGTAATTATGCAAAAGTATAGTTCTTGTGAATGAAATTGATTTACAGTACTGCATGCTCTGTGTAAGATCAACTTCGCAGGCTACAGAGTGATTTAAACAAGTTAATTTTGGGAAATTCTATGGTAATAATACAGCAAAATTCAGTTATAATGAAGTCGCTGGGACCTATGAAATTGCTTCGCTATATCCATAATTTGTTATAACCGTATAACAAATTCATTAAATTTATATAGCTGGGGATCCCAGATGACTTCGCTATATCCGTGAATTCGCAATATCCGTGTTCGTACTAAACGAGTTTTACTGTAATTATCATGTATATGATAGATTTAATATTTTGTATTTAAACATGGACAGGAGTTATTTATGTCATTAGCTGATTAGGCAATTTTATTTTTAATTTGTTTTCACTCACATTTCACTGTTGTGAAAATATACATCAAGAAATGTTTTCCACTTTTGAAATAAATTCTAGATATATCCAACTATAGAACAATTTACAATTATTTTTTTTTCTTTTGAATTACACAATGTTTAATACAAACATAAATTGGCCCCTATTTAAAATAAACAGTAAATTATCTTGTGAATGTCATTCTAGAACATGTACTCATTTTTGTTATTTCAATTACAGAATTTAGGCTAACTGGAAGGATAATTGTTACATACTAATACTGCATTTTCTTTGCACAGTAAGTTGTAAAAGTTATTCTCTATAAACTTGATAAATCTTTAAGTCTCCACTAACTATTAAAAGTATAAAATGTCGAATTTAACTCGATAAATCTAGAGTCACCACTATTTATCAGTATATTGTTATATAAATATGACCGTTAGTTGAACACGTGAACCTGTGTACTTGTCTTGTCATGCATTTCCTAAAATAAATTTACGACTTCTCATTCGTTTGACGTATTATTGCGTCCATTAAAAATAATACAGACTTTTTTTTTAAATATCCAGAATTCCAACAAGAAAAAAACAACCCATTGTTTCGCACGCACATTGCCGACTTGATTCCATACAACTTTATAAATTTGTACTATTGCAAAACTTTATAAAATTGTCTTTGTTTATATATACTAGATCTATGTGTATATTTTATCTGAAGAAAATACGAGTTATTGCGCCTGGTACGTCGAACCCGACTCAAAGCCAAAGCATCACAACACACCCGCAAAAATAACAATAAATGGGGAAAAGTCTGCATATAGGGTAAATCATTAACAAACCTTATTTTCCATGGCTTCCTTTTGTATTATTGAGTCGTTCAATATATTTTACTGCAGACACTCCATGTAGGATATAAGAATTTTTTTTCAAAGCATGACACTCGCTCACACTTTGCTAGGAATCAATGTAATGGCGGTCGCCTTCTGTCAAGCGAAGCGAGTCGGTGCGCGTGACGTCACTCTAATCTTTTGTACCTTACATTGCTTTCTGGATCAGAAATGGAACAATGAACGTGGTCTTTTTAAAGCCGAAAGACAAAACAAGACAAACAAAATAAGGGAAAAAATACAAATGCTAAATTATAATAGAAAGAGACTCGCTTTAACACAACATTGTTTTATAACCTTCCAGAATCGGTCTTACCTGAGGTTGAACACAGATCCCCTAATGTATGTATATGCATGCAATCACAAAACACCATCTATCAGCTGGGTTCCCTCGTGCAAGTCTAGTGCGTACATTTAACTCTGTGCGAGCATTTTGGTCGCATGTCCTGATATAAATATATTTTTGTGTTCGACATTCATGAGTGATAAAGTGTATGGCCTAGCGTTCAACTCGACACTCAACCATAATCTAACTTGTCGCTTCTAGTTTTGCCATATCAAAAATAATCATTTCTTAACTCCATCTATATCTCTTAAATATCAAGTTTACCCAGGATGAAAGATTTTGTTTGGTCGGATATTTAAATCATATGTATTGGACTATATACACATACATTGTGAACCTTAATTTAGAGAATTACTAATTGTAGATTTTGCCAATGGCTTTGTTGTCTGAATAAAGCAATTGGATGTGTTCCAAGTAGACATACTATCTACAACATATCAACGTATGTGTGTATATTTATTTATCCTGTTATACGGAGGTTTTCTAAGACATATGACAAATGTATGCACATGACTTTATATATGCAATTTAAACATTCATAATAAAGATACTCAAATCTTAGTCTTAAAATTGAATTCAAGATATTTAATGGTAGTCATATATTGATCAAATACTTTTCTAACTTTGTTTTTTATTTTTCTTTCATTTGTATCATATTTCAATTCATCTAATTTCATTTTCATATTCACACAAAACCCTTGAAAACAGTTAAAACCAAACCATTTAGTTAATATAGTTGCAAAATTAGTAATAATAATGAACGATATCCGTAAAATATATGAAATACATTCACAAATGAACATTCAATTTTTTATTTCAATAAACATTTCTTTCATTTACAAAACTTAAAGCCAAAATAATCAAATAAAATGCCTGATGCAAATTTACATGTCCAAGTAGTAAATCGAAAAGCTTGCATATTCTTTACAACGTTCAAATCATGTTGCAAAAGTATTCATTACGTGCATGTAAGAATTAAGTAATACGTCAAAATTAAAAAAAAAACCTGTTCCATATTCACCTGTTATAATATTTTCTTACTATTAGAATATTAGGGTGTATTGTTATATATTACAAATTTTTAAATGATAATTGCATAAAAATATGTCTTTATAGATAAAGTAAAACGTACATCTACGTAATACGTATATGGATGAGAATGAGGCATAAATGAAAATAGTATTATATTCCTGAAATGTTTTTGGAAAACACACAACAGACAGGAAATTAAAAATACATAAAAAACGTTGCTTAATCCATTACCACCAGCATCAACATTTATAGACAATTGCATGCAGGATATAAATGTTGAAGGTCTTTTTAATGGACAAAGTTCTGTTAACTAACGCAGACTCAAATATTTTTATGTCCCTTCTGAAATAAAAAAAATCTCATCAACAATATTGTCTATAGATTATTAATCATTGTATAGAAAGAATGGAATGAAACAGTGTACATGTATTTTTCGTGGTCTGTCAGACGTGTGTGCTATATAAAGATTGGTAGATACATCGTGTGTTTTGTTGGAATAATATGACCTTCTAAAAATACACACAAACACACACGGATCATATATTTATGCCAAGTACCCGTTCATTTCATTTCATAAAATTGTAGAAGTGTGACGTCAACATATAGACAGATTTATCTCTTTTTTGTTATTTTTTCGTGGCACTTTAAATAAATGGACTTTTGATCTTGACTACTGTCTGTTATCTCCATATGTTTCATGCAAGAGTTCAGTTGCTTAATTTGATAATGTTCGTGTTGTTTTGTATTGGTTTTGGTTGACAAGCTTGAGAAGGAGCAGGACACCAAACTGATGCATGTACTTGTACTCAAAAATCACTTCACATTAACCAAAAAAAAAAAAAAAAAGGCAAAAGAGTGCGCAAATAATATCAACCATGAAACCTCCAATAAAAAGTAACAAGTAAGGATAAAATAAATAAGCAGGGGGCATTTATGACCCATTTCTGCGAACTCAAACATTTCCCGAAACTTTGGTTAGAAATTATGAATATCTCTAGAAAATGCTATCTACAAAAACCAATACGACTTTAAACATGTTCAATATGAAAAATAAAACAATAATTATGGTTGACTTTTAAAGGGTCGGATTTTATGGTCGTTAAGGCAAGACACCTTTAGAATGAGTTCAACAGAACTTAATTCTGTCTGGGATTTAAATAAGATATATTACCAAGCATTTAATTTTACACAAGACAAAACGGATCTTGGCCTAGTTAAGAGAATGGAGATAAGAACGCGTCGAAGCAGAGGAATAATTGCAATATAAAATGGCACCCTAGTGAAATAAGAGATACCGAAACGCTATGGTAGCGATTTTATCAAATATACTAGTGTTTCTGGTCGTATTATTGTACAAAACAGAGAAAAAAATCTTTAAAGTACGTTTTGATGGTTCAATATAGTAATAATAGTTTACATGGTTCAATTCCAAATTTACTCTTATATAATGTAGTCTTGTATATGTATTAAACTTGACAAATGATACAAGCATTTTGAAGAATAACGTCTTCATCTTGAAATGGTATTTATTCTTAATTGCATTTTCTTTCTTTTTTTTGCCAAGAACAACATTTGATTATAGCAGCATATCCCCTTGTCAGTTTATATTACTGCTTTCTTTGGTTGTCAGTATGGGGATTAATGTTGCAGCCGCTAAATACCCATACCAGCACTATCTAGTTATACATTTTTTTCTACAAACGCTTGTGTCAATGCACTTTGAAAAAATTACGCACTTTGAAAAATTTTTTCAAAGTGCGTTTAGAGTGTACATAAAATTTTTTTACCTTGGGGACATTTAACGCACTTTGCAAAAAATATGTATTTTGACAAAAAACTCTAGACTTAGATTTTAGTAATTGAGAGAATCAATTTGTATTAATTATATCTTTCGACAAATGTTTTAATTTACATGTACTCATTTATCCTCATTGGGAGCAAGGAAAAGACGAGAAGAAGGGCTCTCAGCCCCAGTTTTTTTTTTCTTATACATTGTACTTAGCCGTCTGTAGTAAATTGAAAGTGGACCCCCCCTCAAAGGTAAGCCCCAATTTTCAATGCCTATATATCTTTGCAAAACATTTGTGTGCCTAAGACCCCCGTCCCGGTACCGATGTATATGCTACACCCAAATATATGTATTTGTATAACTGGTATGACGTTGAAAACTTTCAATAAATTTTAGTTCACATATAAAGCATGCAAACTGGAAAAATTAAATACATGGTATACAGTAAAACATTTAAGAGAGATAGAATTTTCAAAGTATGGAAAGCGTTCACTTTAACATCCTGAAGCGACCTCATCACCGAAGAGTCATCAAACAGGTTCCCTAACATTTGCAAGAATATTGACCTGGCCACACAAATTTTTCAAAGTGCATTAATATGGTCGATATTAACGCACTTTGAAAAGAAATTTTATTTTTTCAAAGTGCGTTAATTTGGTCCCAAACATTTTCAAAGTGCGTAATTTTTCAAAGTGCGTTGTAACAAACTCTGATACATTATTTTCGATACTCACAACAAAAGAAATACGTTTTATTGCTTATACATGTAATTATGTATATAACTAACTAAAAAGCAATAACTAAATCTAACTAAATGGTTAAAATGATGTACGTTTTTTTAAATTCTTCTTTGTATCCTATGTATCATTGATAGAAGAACCACTGCACGTCGGGGGTGATAATGCATTGATAAAAGTTGACGTTTTATTAAAGGAGATAATATTCAGTGAATGTAAATATAAGAGGATAGACCTCGACAGATTTGATTCAATATTGAATTCTGAATGCTAGACTCACGCATTTTTATTTTAATAAATCAGTGAAACGAAATAATGAAACTTACATTTTTGGATATTTTAAAGTTAATTTTGTAACAACACAGTGTGCATTAATGTTGAAATATTTTCATTGAAGATTTGTTTGATATAGGGAATTATTCTGTAATGAATAATCTGTTTTGTTCTCCTTTTTACCAACAAAGAAGGTACGGCTATGAATATAATTATGTGTGCTTTTGTGTATCTGCAAGTAAAATCTTTGTAGAAATACACTAAGGTCAGATAAAAAATGAATACAACAGAAGAACTATAAAGCACAATTAAAACAAGTACCAAAAATCATAGATGAAGGAAGAAGGACGTTAATGACTTCATTATCAGCCACTTTTAACAGATCGACTTTAAAATCTCATCAGTTAAACCATCGCTACATCTTTGTACTTTAATAATTCTTCTTTGTCTTTCAAATGTATCATTTTATAGCTGTTGTATCAGAACTAAATCAAGTAACTTCCTGAGTGTTTTGTCTCTGGTTAAGCTTAGACCAAAAGTTCATTGTATGGTGCTTTTGTTGCGCTAAAATTTTCAGAAATTCTTAAGGACATCTCGAGATTGTAAATTTGTAATCCTTGCTCAGAAGTAAGCTACTTCTATCATAAGTAATTGCTTTTTATTTTGGATATTGTATTCTGGATATTTGATAACTTATGTTCACTCTCAATACTTACCTTAATGACCTCAAGATAATATTCCCGTTTGAACTTTTTTTTTTTCAAAACAGCAATTTTGTAGGTATATAAATATCTGATATAGAGTGTGAATTTCATAACACTCGGTGTGATTTACAGAAAAAAATAAACACCATTTTACTTAATGTTTAAACTTTATAGTTCTAAATTTTAATATTTTTATTCTAATCACTCTCTCTTGAGTTTCCTGTTATTTTTAATGCT